TTGTATGTTTTGAGAGAGTAATAGATTTTTTGCAAAATGGGCAAGATTTTTACGAGATGCAAAACTCTTGTTAGTCGATATTTTTTTTTGCAAAGCCCTTTAATATTTTTGAGACCAGGTCTTTTTGTCTTTTTTGTTAGTCGAGATGCTTTGTCTCTATGGCTGCAAGCCCCGATGAACGTCGTCTGCTATACTTGTGGCACTTCACTTCTCCTCTCCACTGCAGGTTTAAAGAACAAAACAGAGGAAGAGTGTTTTATTATCATCAAGCTAGGAGAAATGATCAAAGAAGGTTTAACATTTTAACAAAAACACAAAGCAATGTCATCATTACTTTTATTCCTTGTATGAGAATTACCGAGAAACTCTAGCATACTCAAGGTGGGAAAAAGAAGATCACTTGATAATTAACATAAGCAGGGGAAAATGTCTCAGTAGACCAAATGTCGTATGGTTTACTTTACTAAGTCAATGCATACTCAAAAGAAAGGGACTTACTTTCATTTTGTTGAACTCAAACCTCCGAAATAATTTTGTAGTTAAGTGATGCCACATGGAATTCTCGGTCATGCGAAATGAAGAACCTGCATGAATTACAAATATTAGTTGACTTGAATCTGCGAACTCAAGTAGGATATATTATCAAAGCACTTACTCAGGACACTCATCAAGCAAACGCTCGACTGAATCATCCAAGGGACGACCAAGCTTCCTCTCTTCTTCTTCATCTTCTCCTATAATCCTTAGCAAGCCTCTCAACGGTGTACACCTCAGGATTCTCTTTGTGCAATCTGTACATCTCAATCTTCTCAGAGTCCTTGATATAAGACCTTCTAGCTGCAGGCTCCTTGACTTGCTTCAACAACACACTCATCTCCATCATTCTCTGTTTGATCCCATCAACAAAAGCTCTGCTATGGCTATTATCTTGCTCAATCTCTTTGATCAAATCATCATACTCTTTCATTTCGTTAACCATTGAGACTTCTTTAGGACCCAATCTGCTCATTACATCGCCTGAATCAGAAGCGGTGTTCTTCTGATGCAGAACAGAGACACCATTGAAATGCTCCTTAGTCAGACCAAACGACCACATCGATTTAACGTCCCAATCAAGATCATCAGATTCTGTGTCGCCGAATGATCCTCCCGTTGGAATATCCCATCCATTATCATCGCCTTCGAATCCATCAGACCCTGATTTCCCTGAGTGAAACCCGAGGATAGATGTCTAGTGATTCTACTAAGGTTATACATATCTAAATGAAATCTCAAGTTTACAAAATCAATCCAATGTTGAGCCGCTGAAACAAAGCCAAAAATAGTAACTAACCACCGATAAACAAAATTAAAACACACACATACAAAAAATAGAAAACATTCTTAGCAGAGATTTTCGTATGAACAGATAAGAGGCATCAGAGATTTATCGAAAAATATAAAACAAATGAGAGAGGAGATTAGGGTTCATAATACTTATTTGAAAGCCTTCCCAAACGTCGTCGATTTCGGAGAACCTGCAGAGACAAATCGCGAACCGTTGGAAAATCGATCGGAGAAGTTGCAGAGACCAAACGATTTCAATCTTTTTCGTGGGAGAAGAAAGGAAAATGGGAGAAAATGAAATGAAAATACACAGTTTTTTTTTTTCCATTTCCTTTAGCCAACTAAACCCTGCCACGTGTAAGGTAGAAACGTCTCTACAAGTCGCCAAATAAGAGACGTTTTTGTCAAATGAGAGACGCTGACCCATTTTTTTAATAATTAGTTTCTGTTAGAAACGACCAAAATCTCTGCGTTAATGATGCTCTTAGGACCTCCTACCGATCTTGTTTTGTCTTCTTGATTATAGAGTTTAAAGGTTCAAATATTGACAGTGTTCTTGAAGTAATTATCAGAAACTGCAGTTAGATTAAAGAAATTCTTCAACATATCTTTTTAACTTAATTGACTAAAAACAGTTAATTTTGATGGATTGTTTTTAAAGAAAATTAAGTAATGTGACAGTATTCTTCGAAAAATCTATTAATTAATTTATAATTATCTTAATCACATACATTTCATCCGGTAGTACGTGAATAAATGTGTATAAAGACAAAATTATTATCTAATGAGATCCAACTCAAAATCTGGATATCTGAAAAATTTGGATTTGTATATCTTCATTTAAAGTTTCGAGTAATGGAACTAATTTGTTATCAACAAAAGAATATGATAAATATTGATTGCATTAAAATTTTAATTAATATAATTTTTATTTAGATTTTAAAATATCTTTTAAATTATTTTTTAGCATATTTAGTCTTGAGTTTCTGTAAATATCTAAACTCGAGATTTTAAAAACCCACATATCCAAATTCATACACTTGTGTAATTAAGATTTGGATATACAAAAATTTCATAACATCCTATTCATTTCCATCACAAACCCTTGAATAAGTATTATCACAATCAAGTAGATGACAAACTGAGTGTATAACTATTTTATCAAATATATTTGTGGAATGACATAATCTTATTTGATATGACAACACATAGGATGGTATCTTCAATCTTAATTGTGTTAATATTATATTATATTATATATAAAGGAAAAGACGTACACACTAATTGAACCAAATAGAACATTTTGACACATATACGTAGTAGCTTTTTGCAGTAATCGTAAGTTGTCAACTTTTCTTAGCGTATATATGTTCACTCATCAGTATTTCACCGAACTAAAAGATCATTATAACTCTTTGGATTAGTATTGCAGCTTCACCAAACTACTCAAAAGTTAAGGAATTCAACTTTTTGGATTAGACGTATTGCAGCTTCACAAATAGTAATCACGTAATTGTATAGAACTTTCATCACATACTTTTTTAGTTATCATATTCTGTGTTAAGCATAAATATGGATTGTGTTTTTGCTATGAATAGCAAAAAAAAAGAAAATTTTAGGGATGAGATTTGGAAAATGAAAGGAGACTGAGATAAAAAAAAGTACGAAGAAACAAAAGAGGGCCAAATCATTGTCCTTCTCCTTTGACCATTCCCCACCTTACTCTCTCTCTCTGATCCCATTTATTTACAATTTCATTATTTATTTTCCATTTCCATTATTATTATTTTGAAATGATACTTATATTACTTCCTTTAGATGAACCCAACTTTGTATAATTTCATTAACCAAGAAACTCGAACAGAGACCAAAACACCCAAATTTGTATAGTTTCACCAAGGGACTAAGGTAAAAAAAACCACAAAAATTAAACATGATATTTTGGAGACTAATTGGTACATAATTTTATCATGTGTTCCATCTAAAGCATGTCCAATTCCATCTAAAGCATGTCCAACCAAATTTCATGCTATATACTTACATACCAATATTTATATCAATCTCGAATTTTGTACTCCCTTTTGTTCTTGCTATATTTTGGTACGATCCAATCGTAGTGTTAGGATACAAAGAGAAGAAGTACAAAAATAAAAGGATAGAAATAAGAGTTTTGTGTATAATATGTTCTCATTCATTAATGATTGTTAGTCTCCGTATGAAGCTGTAAAAACAGTGTGTACTATACCGGTCAAATCCGGTCCTACTCTTTTTTTTTATAACCTTCTAATCCGGTCCTACTCATTATTTAACTGTCTTTGTATTTTTGTTTTGTTTTGTTTCTCTTACGAATTTTTACAAGTGTCCTTTTCGGCTCAATTTGGTTCGGTTTAGGCAAATTCGAAGTCCCTACTAATTCGTGTCCTTTTTAATCGACAAGTTCACATGAGCCTTCTTAAGACGAGCCTGACTCTGTTTGATCCAATGGGCCTAATTTACTAGTACTACAAAAAAAATTCAGCAATGAATTAGAGTTAAATTAATTTTTTTTTGGCTTTTAGAGCATTTCCAACCCAGCCCTTAAACCCTCAAATTTGAGGTTTTTTGTGCTCCAATCCAACCCTCAAACCCTCAAAATTTGAGGTTTGGAATAGTGAAACCTCAAATTTGAGGATCCACTATTCAGACCCTTAAAAAAACACTGTTTACTTTATTTTTTAGTCCTTCAAGTTTATATCTTATCAATAAACTTACATTTTATTATTCTTTTCATTTTAATCAATATAATTAGATATCTTATAAATATAAATATATTATTATAAATTTAAATATCATTAATAAAAATCAAATAAATACTTAATTTTTTTTTTGGTCGAAATAAATACTTAAAATTTAAAATTAAAATTACCAATAAAAAAGAAATATTACATAGCATTCTTATAATTAAACATAATAAAAAAATATCAAAACACACAAAGTAATTCAACACAAGATTTTAAAAACTATATAAAACATAAATATTACACAAAATAAACCAAAAAAAAATATATGTAATTTTATAATTTGATTTGTGTGTGTTTTATTTTCTATTTTATATATAATTTTATGTTATTATGAAATTTTTCTTTATATATATATATGTTTTATATTTATATAGAAATCATTATAGTTAATAATTATGAACATTGAAGACCATAATGTAAAATACAAACTTTTTTAAAAATAGATTTGAGGTTTTACCATTGGAGCAATACACCCTCAAACCTTCATTTTAGGGATTTGTCACCCTCAAAATAAAGGTCTGGGTTGGAGATGCTCTTAGTAGTGTATTAATATTTCAATTAAACCAAATCGAGAAAACTAACTTAGAAAAAAAAAAAAAATTCAAGTAAAATGTAATCAAACTAAATTAAAAAGATAATCTTGATTAAAAATTTAAAACACTTTACCATTTTTTTTCTTTTTTTAAAAAAAAACTAAAAGTAACATTACATGAAAAGTAAAAAAATTTAAAAACAACTTTCTATTTTGATCCAGTTTGTATAATTTCATTAACCAAGAAACTCGAACAGAGACCAAAACACCTTATCAATTGCAGGAACACGAGATGACGAGAATGGAATAATCTGGCGAAGCCCAAAACTTAAAGCAAACGCACAAAACAATCACAACTCAAAGCAATGAAAACTTCTTTGATCAAACCACATAAATTATGTACATCGATAAATAAATGCTGGTGAGTCTCAAGTTTTTGTTTCCTTTTAGTAATCGTAATCATTTCTCGTGAATTCTCTAGCGCAGAGTAGAGTAGAAAGGATGTTACCAACAAATAAACAAAAAAAAAGGTAAAAGAAATCACAGAGCCTCTCTCACTTGTAGAGATGATCCATGATACTCCTCAGCTTCACCACATCTACGCCTACAATCTCTGCTTTCTTCACGCCACCTTTGAAGAATTGCAGTGTTGGCTACATTCATTAATCATCGCAATGCACCATTAGATGGATCTCAAAAAGTTGGGTAGCAGTATAGAGCTCATACAGATTCAAAACTAATTCATGCTTGATCCTAGAATGTAGAGTAATCTTTCAAAGGAACAGAGGATGTTACCACAGCAGAGACATTCAACTTCCCAAGAGCATTTGATAGACCGCCCTACAAATATGCAAGAAACGCTTAATGAAACTTACATTGATACTTAGAAGAAGATGGGAAACAAAGAAAGAGCTTATATATGTGTCTCAACAGTGACTTATGTCATGTTTAAGGATGTAACATCAGTAACCAGTTACAGTAAGCAGAGTGTAACAATCTTTGTTTATACCTAAGACTTTCATTTGAGTCATACGATTGCCTTGTAGAAACCTATAAAGGTCATGCTAGTGAACATCGATATATAAATATATGCAAACATACCTCGTCAATGTCGACCTTATATGTTGTTACATCAGGATATTTCTTACTGAGCTCCAATATTACAGGAGCGATAAGCCTGCCTAAACTCAAATCACTAACACAAATTAATAAAGCTACTTGTAAGACTTACAATTATGAAACCAAACTTGCTTTCAGGGAGCTAACTTACAAGGTCCACACCAGGCGGCAGTGAAATAGAAAACTGAAGGCAAAGATCCATCTGAAAAAAGTGGATACATCAAGAAGAAGATACATACACTAAGCAAATCATTACAAGTGTGAAGTGGTTAACAAAGAAATCACAATGATTGTGTTTATTTACTTACCTTGAGCTTTGCTCAGTGCATTGTTGAAGTCCTTCTCCGATTTCAACACTACAAGCCCGGATCTATCTAAAAAAAATTTCAAGTTTTTCAGGGATCAGGGGATAAAATTAAAAGTCTTTTCTCTGCATAAGCAAATAACCCGATCATGTTTCTATGCAAAATCGACAGAAATTATACACAAAAGGCGACAATTAAGCCATTTACCTCCTGCTACAAAACAGAAGCTTCTTCGATCGGGAAGAGAAGTGTTTGAGAAGTTGAATTCAGTGGAAGCGTAAACTGTGGATGTAGCTATGAAGGAGTTTCTCGCAATCTGCAAAAGACAACGAGTTTGAGGATAATAAATCATGGATCGGACGGAATTGCACAGCGCCGAGAATCGGAGAGAGTTAGAGATAAGACCTGATGTAAAATAGACCAGTTATTCTTCATCGTCTCGAGTAGATCAACACAAAGCTTCTCTCTTTTCGCCGATTTTTTAGGGTTTCGAAATCCGATTTGCAGGTTTTCCTTTTTATTTTTCCCAGTGTTTCTCTCCCGCCGCACGACGAACTAAGCAAAAAGAAAATTACAAAATGACCCACACAAATTCTACCATTTCTAAATTAGCCCCGTAAAACCACATTTTTCAAGAAACGTCGACGTTTCCGAGACTATAAACCTTCTTTTGCCGGGAAACGCGATTTTGTGACGCGAAAGACAACGTTTTGTAACGAAAGAAGCTAAAAAAAACCGTACTCTTCGCTGTCAAAGCTCTCCAGAGAAACCTCCATAAACCCTAAAAACCTCGATCTTTCGCCGAAAATGCAGTTTCTTGCAAGATCTCTATCGAAATCAATAAGACCTTTTTCGAATTCAAGGGCTAGACAATCATGGGTTCTCTCTCAGAAATGTCATTCGAGCTTTTCCGCGACGAAAAGCCGCAGCTTTACTCGCGGAGGAAGCAGCAGTGAGGAATCGGAGTCAATAAAATCGCCGGAGTGGCCGAGGCCGACGGAGATACCGTACCAACCCAAAATCGCGAACTCTGCTGATTTGATTGGGTACGTGAACCAACCCATTCAATTCCACGCTAAGCCCGACGGAAGTTTCTGGGCAGGCACCGTCATTACGCATGGACCTCCTTCTGCTTCCGAATCGGAGTCGGACTTGGATTCAACTCATAAATTCTGGTTAGATTTTGATTTTTTTTTTTTTTTGCATGTTGTTGGTCTGTTGTGGTTTTGGAACTCAGAATTGTGGCTAAATCGAAGCTTTTAACTTTTATGCAATGAATTTGAAATTCGAATTTTTTTTTACTCTGAGATATTGATTTCTCATAGATTTGGTTCTTGTGGTAATACTAAGTTTCTGTGAGAATTATTTTGGATTCATGTGATTCTTTTGCTTATGCATTTCTGCATTCTGCTTGAAGGAGTTTTGCTGGATTTTGGCTGTTATGAAGTTGAAGTTGAAATGATTTTATTATGATGAAATGATATATTGTATTGATTCATTGATATGTTCTATACTCTATTATGATCGCTGTGAATATCAGGATTCCGGTAATATTTGAAGGGGATTTAGCTCATACTGCTAACTGTCATTTGAAGAAGAACGATCGGGTTTATATAACCGGACAGATTTTTGTAGATGTCAGCGAAGTATCTGGAGCAAAGCCTGATCAAGCATATGTTCATGTAAGCATCTAAATTTTACGCGTTGAAGAAAACAAAGAAGAGTAATCAGCTATTTTTTTATAACTCATGCTTCTTATAGTTTTGGAGTGACTCCTTGAAAGATTGGATTTTGGATTTTTATGTTGTTTATAAGTTTCCATTGTTGCTTCTCACATCAGGTAATGGCTCGTGATCTCCGCTACATTCAGGGTTCTAAACCCCTACCAAAAGTTTTGCCAGCATCAGATCAAAAGGAAGATGTGCTAAAGCATTCTGGTAAGTGTTCAAGCGCATCAATCTTGTTTCTTTTTTTCCTTTACGGGTTTGGCAATTTAAAACCGATGGCTAACCATGAACATTCATCTTCTTATTCTTAGCAAGCCTTAAAAAAAGAAGAGATTTTGATTGTTGGTATGATCTTATTGAAAAACCGGAAGAATGGTGTGATTACCGCGAAAGAAAACAGAGTGGATCGGTAACTGAAATTTCTCGAAGTAGTTTAATTTGTTCTATATATTCCGGTGATACATTTGTCAAAAGTGTTTAACTTTTTTCTTGATACCTCTATGTACAGGTAAATCCTAGACACCCTGATTTCAAGAAGAAAGACGGCAGTGTAGCGCTTTGGCTTAACAACGCTCCCAGTGATATATTGCCTAATCTTAAAGACGTGAATTTCGATGTTCCCGTTAGATCAAAATACGCAAAACAACCAAAGGGTAAGTAAATAAATAGTTTCTCTTACCGATGAATTCTTTAGTATTCTACGAATTGGAATGTTTTGTTTCTTCTCTGTATAACAATCTTGCTTATGTAAAAACATGTGAAGCCGGAGAGGAATCGTGGAAGGACTTGGTGGAAAACATGAATAAGTGGTGGGACAATAGAGAGGGCAAGGTAAAAAAAATGCCTTACCTTTAATCAATCATTTTTCAATGTATTTACCGCAGCCAAGTAATCATTTATATAACTCAAATCAATGCAGAGACATCCAAAATCTCCGGATTTTAAGCACAAAGAAACCGGTGTAGTTCTCTGGCTAAGTAATTCTCCAAGCTGGGTGATAGAGAGACTACCTCCTCCAAAGAGCAAAACAAGTGACAGCCACTGAGAAGAACAGAACAAGAGATGTTTTTACTCTAATTTTTTTGGGACATATGTAAAAAATATCTAAATTTATGTTAGATCCATTTTGAAAATATCCGGTTAGGGTTGGTGTAATTTGGTGGTTTTTTTATCCTTGTTTTTTGGTCTCTCTGGTTTTAAAACTTTTGATCCCGTGATTAAAAGCTAAAAGCTTATGAGTTGTTTCATATATCAAGAAAAAAGTTTATCCTCGACAAAACAATCATCGAGAAGAACAATAAGTAGCAATTGTGAAATTACAATATTCGTTTATACAAGGGAAACAATATTCGCTCAAAAATCTATTGAAAACTTTCGAAGACCAGAACTTAAAAAAGAAAACTCCTAAAAAACGATCACTAAAAATATACACCATCAAGCAAAAATAAAAAGAAAATGTCAGAAGTGGGATTTGAACCCACGCCCTCTTTCGAAGACCAGAACTTGAGTCTGGCGCCTTAGACCACTCGGCCATCCTGACAACTACGTCGAATTATTTCAAAATTAAAGTTATAAATGCATTTTGATAGTTGGCGGAAATATACAATTTGCCAAAGTTAAGGGATTTTACACAATATTACACAAGAAAGGTCCTTTTTCTATAAATACAAAAGAGAGTAACCGAAAATAATTAATAATAAAACGTCACAGAATCTGGAGAGATCGCAGAAGAAATTGAGAAAACGCTTTGTGCGAATACAAAAAACCCTAGCAAGCGGAAGGAGACAAAGAACGAGAATTGGAGAGGGAAAGTTTTCAATAGATTTTTGAGAGACTTACGCTGATCAATCGTGAATTAAACACAGAGTGAGGAGAAAGGTCTAGTGATGGGGAAGAAGAAGAAGAGAGCGACGGAGAAGGTTTGGTGCTATTACTGCGACAGAGAGTTCGACGACGAGAAGATTCTTGTGCAGCACCAGAAAGCCAAACACTTCAAATGCCATGTCTGCCACAAGAAGCTGTCTACAGCTAGCGGCATGGTGATTCATGTCCTCCAGGTTCATAAAGAGAATGTTACAAAGTATGCGCTTCTTCTTTATCCCTCCATATCCCTTTGTGTGTGTGTGTGTGTGTGTTAGCTTAATTTGGATCTCAGGATTGATGCCTCTATGATTTTGTGTTAGAGATCGGTTTCTGTTGAATGCCCGAACCTACTTTTGTTTGATGGTTTGAATCGGATGAATGTGCATGTTTACTGGGAATTAGAAAATTTTGAATCTTTATTGCATTAGCTCTTTCATGGGTTTGGTTAATTTTGTTCAAGTTTGTTCATAAGCCCTGATTTGTGCTTCTCTGTGTGCAAATTTTTGGAGAGAAACATTCTTTTGGTTGGTAGGTTTCCTAGGACACATTCTTTTGTTCAATGTGTTTGCATACTGAATTTGAAGTTTCGATTTTTTTGGTCTTACTTTGCTTCGTTTGGTTAAGTAAGTCATTCAAGTTGGAGGAGACCTAAGGTAGAAGAAGGGTTTAGGGAAACATTAACCCTTGTTAGTTTCATTCCTTGGGGTTGCAGAGATGCACAATTATTTAGTTCCCACTTCTTCTGATTCCATTACACTGCTAACTTTAATATATTTTCATTTTTCCCACTAGGGTTCCTAATGCTAAGGATGGTCGAGATTCAACTGATATTGAAATATACGGAATGCAAGGGATTCCACCCGATGTCTTGGCTGCTCACTACGGAGAAGATGGTAAGGAGCTGAGTTATATTGTTTAAATATCACTTATCAGCCATTGTATAAGAGAAGTAGCGCAAGAAGGTTTCTTCATCAAGCGCTATGGATCTATTGCATCTAATGGTCATAAACTCGTCTTTATTTTGCATGCAGTTTTTGCTCTTTTGAAGTAATTGTATACTATATATTGTGCTGCCTCAACAATGCATATGGTACCTTTTGAACTGAAGTTATGTTTTCTGCAGAGGAAGAATCTCCAGCCAAAGTTGCAAAAATTGAAATTCCTTCCGCCCCTCTTGGTGGTGCAGTTCCTAGACCATATGGAATGGTATATCAACCTCAACAAGTACCTGGTGCTGTGCGACCTATGTATGTACTCTGTATTCTTTCTCTTTCCCCGACTTGTAGAATATTTAGATGTTGTCTTTGTTTTCTTTAGTTCATTCTGATCCTTGCTAAATGATGGGTAAAGATTTCTTCTTTTGTTCTCTAGCTAGTTTTATTGGTTTCCTGGTTCTACAATTTGATGCACTGAAGCCACTTTTATCCATAGTTCTTTGTTTCCTTAGTTCATTCTCGAGATTGTCCAAGATAGAATTCTGTCTCAGAACTGTACTACTTTTGTTCCTCTTCAAGACCACAAGAGCGCCGTAGTAAACAGTTTCTTGTAATAGTTCCTTATCTTAAAATTTTGTATAACTCATATCGTTATTGTGTCAACAGGTATTATCCCGGTGCTCCTATGCGTCCTCCTGGTCCTGGATGGCCTATGCCTCCTCCCCGTCCACAACAATGGTATCCACAAAATCCTGCAGTTCCTCCAGCTGCCCATGTAGGCTATCGACCACAACCACTTTTTCCTGTTCATGGTATGGGGATGACTATGCCAACGTCATCTCCTGTAGTCAGTGGAGTTACTCCTCCTGGAATTCCTTCATCATCACCTGCAATGTCGGTTCCTCAACCTCTGTTCCCTGTTGTGAATAGCAGCACTCCTTCTCAACCTTCACCATTTTCTGCTTCTCTTCCCGTTGGCGTGGCTCAGCAACCGTCTCCTGCGGATGCCACCGTAGGATCAGTTAATGCATATCCGCCTAACAATTCTTTTCCAGGTTCATTCTTATGTTCTTAGAATCGATTGCTTACATTTGGTTCATCTGTTTCGTGTCAAAATTTAATCTCTCTTTTATGCTGTTTCGCAGCGGGTGGGACGCATACTCATTCGTATGCCTCTGGTCCAAACACCAGCGTTCCTTCAATTGGTCCACCTCCTGTAATTGCAAATAAAGCTCCTAGCTCTCAGCCTAATGAGGTCTATCTTGTATGGGATGATGAAGCGATGTCTATGGTTAGTTTCCTCCTGTGTCTTTTATATTGCTGTCGTTTGAAGAATTGCCATTGACGAAATCAATTGCTTTTCGATCTGACATATATCTCTGTAACCGCAGGAGGAAAGAAGAATGTCCTTACCGAAATACAAGGTGCATGATGAAACCAGCCAGGTAAGTTCTGAATTAACCCTTTTTTAAAGTTAAGGAGAGTTTGCTTTGCACGTCTAACCCATTCGGTAGGCTTCATTTATGCTATTTTTATTTCAGATCCTATTGTTTCTGTGCTAAGAGGTACCTCTATAAATTCAGTTTGTAGTTTAATCCCTTAGAGTATGAGAAGGACATGTAGTAATTGAATTTAGAATGGTATCTATAGTAGCTTGCGATAAGTAGTGAAGAAAATCACGTATGTAACTGCTCGTTTTTCAATATATGTTCCTCATTCTCTTGTATTGTAATAAAAAAATTGTGGGGATTGGTTCCACAAGATCATACTCAACAGGTTTGGTTTCAAACCCAGGTCAGCTCCTTTTATATTCTTAACTTTGCGAAGTTTGCAGAATCACTGTCTCAGGGAATATAAAAAGAGAACTCTTTGCTGCCCGTTCATGTAAAGCATCCAACTTTCTTACTCAGAACCGAGTTTGTTCCTTTTGAAATTGTTGTTGCAGATGAACTCGATAAATGCAGCCATAGACAGACGAATCTCAGAGAGTAGGCTCGCTGGGCGGATGGCATTTTAGAGTTTGGCACGGCACCAAACGTGTCTCGAAGAAAGCTTTCAAGAATCATCTATAAGATAGGCGATGATGATGATGATGAGCTTTTGTTCCAACTCTTCACTCACATTTATTCAGATTTTCAGAAACTGCATTTGTGATCTGATTTTGAGTCATTAATATCTATCTGTTGTAATATTTAGCCAGGTGAGTTAGTTACCCATTGCATTATTTTTGAGACCTCAGGGATGCTTTTCAAAAGCTTAGTTTTTTTTTTTTTTTTGTCGTTGGAGACTTGGAGGAAGAAGTTTAGTCACTTATTTCGTCTGAATTTACTATCAATTAACATAAAATAAAATACAGTATACAGATTCGCTCAAAATCCTTGCATCATGTTAACTATGTAAGACGCCAATATCTATATTTTCATTGATACAAAGTTAAATCTCAGTTAACTGATCTTTTTTTTTTGTATCGAGTGCTCATTTGAAACTCAAAATGTGGAATGTCTACTAATCTATCAATTTCAAAGTTAGGGATGTAAAATGGATATTGTCAAACAAAGAAGGGGCTATCTGTAATATTTCATTACTTTATCGCCACTTCCGCTCGCTTTCCCCAAAAAAAAGAGGAAAAAAAAACTAAAATGTCGTAAAGTAAACCTCTAAAACCCTCGAGGCCTCTGCTGTTACATTTCGTCAAAAATCTGAGCTTTGCGCGAGATTGCTACTTCGCCATTGTTGCTAAAATGAAAGCTTTTAGATCTCTACGAGTACTAATTTCAATCTCACGAACTACGACGACACCTCGCAGTAACTCCCATCTGCCTCACAACTTTCTCCGCCGGTTTTACTCGGCGCAGCCGAATCTAGACGAACCCACTTCCGTCAACGAAGACGGACCCATCAGCGACTCCATTTTCGATAGCAGTCAATACCCAATCCCTGGAATCGAAGATTCCCCTTCAGTGAAAAAGCCAAAGCAACCCAATTGGGATAAAGGGTACAGGGCAAGAGTAGAGAAAGAGTTGTTTCCGAAAGAGACCACCGAAAAAGGTAAATTGAAAATCCCAGAAGAAGAGAGTTCCGAAGAAGAAGAAGAAGAGGATAGTATCGATAGGTCTAGGATCCTCGCCAAGGCTCTATTGGAGGCGGCGCTTGAGTCGGCTGATGAAGAACTCGGTGAAGGTGAGGTTAGAGAAGAAGATCAGAAGTCGCTTAATGTCGGAATCATCGGCCCACCAAACGCCGGAAAATCTTCCCTGACTAATCTCATGGTTCGATTGTTTCCTCTTTTTTTACATTTCTGCTTGGTCTTTGAGAATCATTCTTACATTTAAATTGTTGATCAAAGGAGTCATTGTGTATATGTTTATGCAAAAATTCGTTCTTTATTGGTTGAATTTGGGCTTTATGTGCTGCCAATGACTCTTCTGGAATCCTAAGTTTGCTTAAATTTTGGATTTTTAGTGTGATTTTGTCCTTATGTTGAGAATCTTGCTTACGGTTTTTAAGCTTGTGTGCAGGTTGGTACAAAGGTTGCTGCTGCTTCCCGGAAGACCAACACGACGACCCATGAAGTGTTAGGAGTATTGACAAAAGGAGATACACAAGTTGTAAGTTTTCTCTTATATCTTTTGCATATATAAAGCACACGTTATGGTTTTTAAGTATTGAGATTGAATTTTTAGTGTTGAATACGATCATTTGAAGTTTAGAGTAGTTAATTTTGTGTTTGGAAACAACCTTGCAGTGTTTCTTCGATACTCCGGGTCTAATGTTGAAGAAAAGCGGATATGGTTACAAAGACATCAAGTCTCGTGTGCAAAACGCTTGGACTTCGGTTGACCTATTTGATGTACTCATTGTTATGTTTGATGTCCATAGGCATCTCACGTGGTTAGTCATTTGCTCGTTTGTGTACATTATCAGCTTCCACGTATTTTCTTGACAATGCTATCTTGCAACTTAGAGTAGTTTAGTTAAGAGCATCAAGTGGTGCTTCTTGTGGTGTGCTTACTAGCATCAAGCTTGAGAACCGTAAACCGATGGAAACGCTCATCTATTTCTTTCTTTAAAAAATGACTAAATGGACTTGTTTTGCGCATTGGCAAGAAGAAATAGAGTTCCCTCAAACTTAATTTGTAGTTTCTGAATTCTGGATGGTGTTTGATTGATACATTCCGGACTGTATGACTGTAGTTTTGCGTAGTTTGTGAAGTCTATTTTCTATTTGATTGATATAGTCCGGATTCAAGAGTGGTACGCTTGATCAGATACATGGGAGAGGAAGCAAACCCAAAACAAAAGCGCATTTTATGTATGAACAAAGTTGATTTGGTCGAGAAAAAGAAAGATCTGTTGAAAGTTGCTGAGGAGTTCCAAGATCTTCCGGCATATGAAAGGTAGATAAGATATACACCTGACTCTGTTTAATAAAAACGAACAGGGAAGTCTCTTGAATTGCAACTGAAAAAAAATGATGGTTTTTCTGTTCTGTTTGGTGTTCTAGGTACTTCATGATATCAGGACTTAAGGGATCTGGAGTTAAAGATCTTAGCCAATATTTAATGGATCAGGCAGTAAAAAAGCCATGGGAAGAAGATGCATTCACCATGAGTGAAGAAGTCATGAAGAACATCTCTCTTGAAGTTGTTAGAGAGAGATTACTAGACCATGTTCATCAAGTAATTATATAACCTATACTTGCATAATCTTATGCATTCGTTTCCGCCTATTCCAAGATGACAAATTACACGATTCAAAACATATTATAGGAAGTCCCGTATGGCGTGGAGCACCGGCTAGTGGACTGGAGAGAGCAGCGAGACGGGTCTCTGAGGATCGAACAGCATCTCATCACTCCTAAACTTAGCCAACGCAAGATTCTTGTGGGCAAGGGCGGGTCCAAGATCGGGTAAGAGCAAATAAGATCACAGGCTGGTTCAAAATCCACTCTTTGACTAATCTCGTGACTGATATTTTTGTGACCGATGCTACTTTTGCAGGAGGATTGGAATGGAGGCCAATGAAGAACTCAGGAGAATAATGAACCGAAAAGTTCATCTCATTCTCAAGGTATTGCTCAAGTGAAACCGTTCTCCGAAGACAATAGTTTTTTTGTGTTTCGACGGATTTAGGATTGGGTTTGTACACGATTCGATATCTGTTTGTATATGGTGTTGTCAAAGATTAGACATTGACATTAGAAATATAAACTTTACTACAAACCAGACAGGATCACAATAATAAGACAAAGCAACAGAGTTTTGGACAAAAACACAACAAGCATTCTTAACACCAGAAGTTTAAACGACACGTAGTCTCTCAACTATAAGTCTGAAAACTAACAGGCTCCAGGAAATGGAAGTGTTAACTGATCAAGAAGACTAACCACCGGCGTAGTAAGCACCGGGTCATATGCAAAACCCTGCAGCACCTCTCCGTCTGAACCACCACCGCCGACATTGCCGCCGGAGTAAGAACACGGTGGGACCCACAACCAACTTTTTCTCACCATATCAAACAGCAACTGCAGTGAAGTCCTTCTTAACACAATCATTACAAACTCTTGATTTCCGACACACTCGAATCCTTTTCCGCCTTCTTCCGCTGCGAACTGTGTGTAGAGTGGCTGAGGCATCCGTTCGATCTCAACCCACGTGGCGTTATCTTGTTGCAAACTCCAAAGCCTAAGGCTTTTGGGAACGTTAAGCTTGCTTTTCTCAACGGCTGCTACGAGAACAAGCTTTCCTTTGCTCTCTAACAAGCTTGGAGATCGGAGAAACCTCCTCATCGGAGCTTGAATCTTGATCCACCGGTTTCCGGTAACCTCATAGGACAAAACGCTAAAAGGGCTGTAGTTCATACAGTAAAACTTGCCTTGCACGTAAACCATCTTACCAGATTCCAAGCTACAAAGCCTTGGCAAAGAAGAAGTCATCGCCCAAAGAGAGAAGAATCCGCCAGCATCGACATGGAAACTCTCCGAGGAAAGGTTTTTCACGGCGTAAGGAGATATGAGATCGTCTCCAGCGACGGTAACATCAATGGAAGTTGGTGTTACTGAGAGACCTATCGAAGGGAAAAGCCTTGGCCTTGACATTGGTGGTAACTGACTCACGGATCCAATAAGAGGGTTACATAAGAGAATGGTTTTAAGACCAGCTTCTTCAGAGACCCAACTCACTAACCCTCCTGATGATCCTGAAGGATAAAACCCCGAAGGGATATATGCAAAAGAGAGACGGTACCATCGGATTTCATTAGGATCAAACAAAAAGCCTTCAGCTTTGTTGGAATCATCATCAACGTTTGTTCCTCCTCTTTTGTAAATGTAGCTTTTCAGAGTTTTGTGTTTGAAGAAGAGGAAACAGTTGTGTCGAAGAGGAAGTAGTTGAAGATATGTCTCGAGGAAAGCGCTGGAGAAAAGAAGACCGTAGAATCTCTTGCAGACGCAACGTGACCGGAAAAATGCCGGAGGTGGAAGAAAAGCGATGATACGGTCAAGAAGCGTAGGAGGTAGCTTGCTCCAAATCCGACCGTCCATCCATTGACCGGAGCTTGAATCTGTGGTTGTGCTTGTCGTTGTGCTACTGTTGCTGCTACTTGTGAAGGTGTAAGAGAAAGGTAAGGTTAAAGATGGGTTATTAATGAACACATTTGTATCCATTTTGTTGTTTAGGCTTTAAAGTATTTATGAAAGATTTGGTGAAAAGGGTTTTGGATTTTTCTTTGTCTGAAATGGATTTGGAGTTTTGTTCTTGTGTTGGGAGAAGGGAGAATTAATTTTTATGATTTTTGAGGAAGGTTTTTGTGAAAGTTATGCAAAAAAAAAGTTATGCAAAACCCATTGTTGGAAAAGAGGCAAAGATCATATGTATAGCTTTTGAAGAAAAAGGTAACAAATAGGAGATAAAGTTGTTCTCTCTGCTCTTTCTCTACTTCTTGCATGGGTTTTTGATATGTTCTGGACTTGAACAGAGTAAAGTGGCATATATAAAAGAACAACTGATATTTAAACATAGGTAAATGAAAGATGGTAAAAGTAAAAACAAAGGTAAAAGAAAACGTTCATTACATATATATATATATATATATATAAGTATAATCAAACCCAAAATAAATAGATAAATAACGTATTTCTTTATTGTTTAAAAGGTATAGTAGTAACTTCTTGTTTCTGAAAGTTTTCATGATATAATATGTGATGAATTGTGAATTATTTTTTTAAGTTGATAGCTTATGTAAGTTCTTTTTATTTATGTGTTTACAAAAAGAAAAGGTAAAAATCGGGTTGAGGTTTGGTATATTAACATTAAAAATGTATAAAACTAAACCGGTCAAATGGAAAGACAAAAAGAGGTTAAGTCGAAACAATAATAATTTGTTACGAAATTTGAATTTCTTTTATTATAAATTGTAAAGTATGTTTCAAATGTGTGTATACCAAATGTATTCAGTATTATTCAAACTAGTGTTTTTAAACAAAGGTAATTCAAGTTTTTACCATCCCCTTAATCTTTCTGGATTTATAATTTAACTAATCTACTCATAGAATTTTAAAATAGATTTAAAGCGTGACATTTTTTGACTGATCAAATAAGAACAGTTAAATAATTACATGTTTACAGAAAATCGATTTCTAAGTTATACGAACAGGACAATGCCTGCACAAATGAGAATCACTAGTTTATCATCATTTGATATACTTGTATCACAATAATTAACTGTATTAACTAAACCAAACTTCAACAAGCACAACTATCCAAAAGCGTTGTTATAACCATAGTTTGTTGATATTAATTGACTAACAAATTTTTGTTTGTATATGTGTGTGTGGGTAAACGTGAAAATGGTGGCAGAGGAAGTGATGGTTCTTAAAGTTGAGAGAGCTTCAGAGTTATCTTGTCAATGCCCAGCATCGACATTATTAATTCAGAGACTACTCCAATACTTTTCCCATTTGATCACATCTTCATCTTCTTTTCATTTCAATTCTAATATATATATTTTTTTAATTTTTTTGCAATCTACATGCACGCTTCTCTTATTAAATTTGTTTATTAACTTTTATTTTGATAAAGGCCAGACAAATTGTACTCATTGGAGATCAAATCAGAGAGTACCAGAGATTGAAGAGCATATTATTTCAGATTTCTTTTACGTGTCCAAACAAACCAATTAGAACACTTTCTTTGTTTATAAATCTGTTTTTATTATAAAGAGAATAGATAATTCTCAAATATCTTAGAAATCGAAATTAGTCAATTGTTACGACATGTATGAAAAATAATATATATGGTTCGGACCCTTACATTAATGATTTTTGTTGGAGGATACCTTATATATATTCGGATTTGAAACGAAAGTTAAACATATATTACAAGATCTAATACAATCCAGTAATTAAAGTTCAAAGAAAAGTGGAAAATATGTAACATTCAACAAACGTAGTTTCTAAACATAAAAAACATTTAAGAAGAAAAATGAGAATTAGAAAAAAGACGAATACTCTTCAAGAGTTAAGATACATTTAACATTCTTACGATGTGATCGAACAATTTGCTCATAAGGTTCTAGCAGAAGTAGATGTTACCTTTATGTGATGTTTAGAATAGGAAATAACATTTCCTTGCAAAAAAGGTAAATAACTTAAGACTCTAACCCTGTAAAATTCTTATGAACCCCTGCTAATTACAATTATGTGTGAAAATGATATTCAGACTACACAAAGAAAAAGGAACTGTAATACATTAAGGGTCCGAATGGTAACGGCGTATTTGGTTGTGCGGGAAAAGTGGTTTTAAAGTGCGGTAAGGTTCAACTGCGGTACGTGCGGGAGAATTCAACTGCGGTACGTCCAGGAGAATTCAACTGCGGTACGTGCAGGAGAAATTCAACTGCGGTATGTACGAGAGAAATTCAACCGCGATACGTACGAAAAAACTATTTACGTTTAATACAAAATAAGTGATGTAAAATATTATTTAATTAATGAAAAACAACATATATGCAATATGATAGATATTGCCAAAACAAATATATTAAAAATATTAGTAAAATTATAAATTAGAAATGGTCTAAACATATTTTTTAAAAAAAAAAACTGTATTGATCCATTTAATTAATTTCATAATTTTTTTTATAATTTTTAAAGTTTTTGTTATTCTTAAAATTTTAACATAATTTTTATAAATATAGTTAGTATATTAATATTTATAATAAATTTCAGTTGTAATATAGAAAACCGCACATGAAAACAGAACCGCATCAAAAACCTAGCGTAATTACTATTCCATACAAATTTCATTTTTTCTTCATAAAACTAAAATCGCACTTCTACTATTCATCTTTTTAATAAAAATAGAAAAACGCACCACAGTTACAATAGTTTTTGATGAATGATAACATAAAAGCGGATTTGCGAAATCTGTCCCGCACGCTGTTACCATTCATAGCCTAAATCTGATTAGGGTTAGAGAGATATGATGACTGAAAAATAAAGAGGTAGAAAAAGTGAAGAAGTAGAGTCAGCTCAAAAGTCCAATCAGGGTTTCTTAATTAAGGCATTGTTTACCGTGAAAACAATATATACAAGGTGAGAATATCTGAAGCTGACAAGTCGCAAAAGAGTAATAATATTCTCTATTTGAAGTAACTCAAGAGGCTTCGCTTTTGTTTGTGTTTTGATGTTAAAGGAAGTCTCTGAAATCAAACAGTGTCTTGTTTTTGTCAAATCATCTCTCTTCCCATTTCCCAACTAGTTTTTAAACTTTAAATCACGCTTACAAGTGTCGTACCCACAATACTGTTATTATTAATTAAGCCGGTAGAATGTAGCGTTTATATATTGCTTAAGTAAAAAGATATTGAAGGAAATATTAATTAATTTGAATTTTCAGTCCAGCTATTGTCGGTGTTATTTTACACACATGTGTTATTTGCTACGTAGTATGCATGATATGAGTTATAGTAGTAGACATAAATTTCCGGCCTAGGAAACTTTGTTTTTTGGTTGCTAATGATCTATATATTTTGCCTATACAGGAATTTTGATATTTTATTTATATTTATTCAAATAATTAAGAATATCTATTTTAAAAACATAATCCTTGTTGTCTGAAGTTTTTTTCTTATTTCTTTATATTTGGGTAACTTCTTAAGTAAAAAAAAATGATACTTAAACTAATTAAACACGGTTGAACAAAAAAAACTAATTAAACACAATGAATTCGAAAAGAAAAAAGAGAAACCAAAATATTCAAAATGCGATTTTATACTACCCACTTCACGTACGAGTATGCATTTATTGTCTGTTCATTAAAATTCTCTCTAGCCCTAAAATCTATGGAAAAGAGGGGTGTAAAATAATTGTAGATATATCAAATTCTAGAACTCTAAGTAAATATTAACCTTCAAGAAAACGCCATATATGGAAAAAGGTTAAAAACTTTTTTGAACTTGGAAATTTCGGGTTGTCTTCAATCTTCAAGCAAACCTTATTTTGTTATTCACCTTTTGACACTTCAATTTAACTTTCACCTAGATCAGTAAGTCCGTTAACCCTTTTTACTTTGGGTAGATGAAATCTTATCATGTAAAAATAAAGGTATACATATCATGTATTCAAGGGTAAATACAGGGTTGTACCAGAAGTTTCTAAATGGGAGTCAAATTATAAATGATTACTCCATTTTCGAAATTATTAAATAATAACATCCTACCAATCTATTATATATATAATGAAAACACACATATATATATATATATATATATATATATATATAATTAAAACGAGTTTTTTTTTGGTCAAGATAATTAAACGAGTGTTTCCCTTTAAAACTACACTCTAATAAATTTAGGGAACACAGAATAACCGTACTTATCAGCAAAGTATAGTTAGATAATGGCCATCATAGATCTTTTTAAGTTTAGGTAAAGAAACTTAAGTGCGTGGGTGTAATAAAATTACAATTTTCTCGCCACCAAAATTAATAATTTCGCAGGTGATAAAAAGAACAAATACCACAATATTACTATGCTAAAATATTCGTTGACACGTTTTCTTATATGATACCACGTTGTTTTATCTATGATACACAATCACATAATTTTATTTACTGACACATGATTTTACAAAATAGTGCCAAGTGAAGAACCAAGAGAATAGTTAAGTCAAATTGCTCGGAAGACATAATTTTTTAAAAAAAAAAAACATATTTTCTTAAACCATATTATGGATATTTATATAATTAGTGTTACAGTGAGGTTATTTTGCAAATTAACCCATAAATTTATGATATGTGCTGATTAAAAAAATTATCTACAAAATGAAATCATGTGTCATATGATCAGATCTATTTAATAATAAAAAAACCAACCTTTGCATCTTACCCATTATACTTCCTTGTATATAAATTTAGAGATTTGACATGCATTCTTATAAGAAGATGAATGTATGTATATATGTATTAATGTATATATATATATATGTATGTAGAAATTGTGGCATACATTCACCACATGAAGCGCTCTTTGTACATTCTTGTTTAAATATCTGTTGAAACAATGGAACAATCATATACCGGTGTAAGAATCTCCACCAACATAGAAACGATTGAACCCTGGAATGCTTCATTATTTAGCCACTTCAACAACAATAATGAAAGA